GTCTTCCATAGTAGCACACTGCACAGAGGTCATGTGACACACGTTCCTCTCTGCAGCAGCCTCCAGGTGTTCTTTCAGTCTTTCAGAGAGATAAGTCAGACCTTTCCAAGGGAGGTTAAACAGGTCAAAACTGAAGAAAACAAAACCCTTCCCTCAAAGGCAGGCACCTCGCAGGAGACAGAGGGTGCCTGAATGTATGGACCGGGTTCTCCACCCAAGAGCAGATCAGGACTGTCTGAGCACCACTCTGGCTTGTTTTTGTAAACTGGTGTGTGCAGAGATTTTCAGGGTCTTCTGATGTCTCCTCACCGTACTTCCTGGCCAAGAGGTCAGGGTAGCCAGTGTTTCTTTTAAGTCTGTTTTCAAACTTCCCATTGGTGAGTGAGTTCTGAAGGCAAATGACGCCTAGTCTTTGTCCCCTTGCAGGACAAGCGCAGTTTACCTTCTGTGGTGGGCCGCCTCATCCTCACGATGGTGCTTGGTTTTCCAGCTTCTCAGTTTATCTTCTTTAGAATGCAGCAAAATAACAAATAGAATCATTAAAAAATAGTGAGGATTGCCTGAGCCTATGGGTTCGAGACCAGCCCGGGCAACTTGGGGAAACTTCATCTCTACAATAAATAAAAAATTAGTCGGGTGTGGTAGCGCGTGCCTGTAGTTTCAGCTACTTGGAAGGCTGAGGCAGAAGGATCGCTGGAGCCCAGTAACTCCACGCTGGGGTGGCCATGAGCATGTCACTGCACTCCAGCCTGGGCGACATGAGACTCCGATTCAATAAAAAAAAAATTGCGAGGGAGGCCGGGCGCAGTGGCTCACGCCTGCAATCCCAGCGCTTTGGGAGGCAGAGGCGAGAGGATCGCCTGAGCCCAGAGGTTCGAGACCAGCCAGAGCAACTGGGCGAGATCTTGTCTCTACCATCAATCAATTAGCTGGGCGTGGTGGCCCGCGTCTATGGTTCCAGCTGCTTGGGAGGCTGAGGCGGAAGGATCAACTGAGCCCAGCAGGTCGAGGCTGCGGTGGCCGTGAGCTTGCCACTGCATTCCAGCCTGGGCGACAGGGAGACTCCGACTGGGGCGCGACGGGAGTGGGGCGGGGGTTGGGGGAAGCTTGCCACTAACTGTTCTGAACAAGTTTATGGAAAATCTTAAGCAAAATACGACCTTGGACGATGACCCCAAAGCCCACGTACGAGTCTCAGCAACCTTACTGTAACCGCCTAATTCAAGATAGTGAAATGTACCTGCGGCCGGGGTGGGGACACGCGTCAGGATCGAGTTCGAAATCAGGGTCCGGGGAAATTGAACGCGACCGAGATCTGGGGCCAGCCCCGGCGACAAAGGCT